AGCCCTATATTAAAAGGGAAATGTCACTAGTCAACCAGCCCTATATTAAAGGGAAATGTCACTAGAGTCAACCAGCCCTATATTAAAGGGAAATGTCACTAGAGTCAACCAGCCCTATATTAAAGGGAAATGTCACTAGAGTCAACCGGCCCTATATTTCAGGTGTGTCAACTTCATATTCATCATCTCCAGCACCACCCCAACATCACCATATGTGTAAATAGCGCGTTGTGTAGTAAAAAAAGATTGAGGAAGATAAGTGTTTCCAATGACATCATCAACATATTAGTAGATAATTAGTAGGCAATGCCTACTCATAATTGGTTAAAATCACACAAATAACACAGATAATGTGATTGGAAACACTTATCTTCCTCTATCTTTCTTACTGCAAAACAGAAATGCACCATTTTCACATATGTTGATGTTGGGATGGTGTTGGGGGTGATAAATATAAAGATGAACAATTCTGAAGTTTCCCTTTAACCCTTTAAGCTCTGTTTATCCAGCTGACCATACCAGTTAGTGAATAATACATGGCTGTTATTGCATTTTTCCTCCCAGGCAGCATATACTGATCCAAAGTCAGCCAGTAATGAGTGCAACCTGAGTCCGGCTCCATATTGGGCTCGAGACATACATATCTAGGATCAGTTAGTAAGAGATGTAACCTGAAGCAGGTTTTCCTACCAGGCTCCAGACATACTAATGAGAGTCCTGATCAGGCCTGTAACTCGTTTGTGACCCCAACAGACTTGACCTCTAACCCCTGACTCTCCCCATGTGACTACTGAGTTCCTATGAGCTATAGTCCTGACTAGACCCTAGAAACAAATCCTATTCTATATGACCTCATATATGGCCAATACTTTTGCAAGGCACTGTACAATGTGTAACACCTTCGGCAAGTAACAAATGGTTGTCCATTGAAGCTGCAAATCCTCATGGGGCTCTAGGCATCCCGTGCAGTGAACTGCACAGATCAGAGGGTCCACATTGAGCCCTTGATTATGGGAAAAAGGTGTGTAATTTAGTGAGTCTGCTGACTTCTCTCTCTCTCTCTCTCTCTCTGTCTCTATCTCTCTCTCACTCTCTCTCTCATTGCCTGTCTTTCACTCTTCCTCTCTCCTCTGTCAGCCTATTAGAGTCTCTCCCTCTCTCCTTCACTCCTCAGCGTCTCCAGTAGTGACAGCTGCTTCAGTAATTGATGCCGTTTGACATTGAATAAGCCAATTAGAATGGCAGTGATTTAATTGGCCCCGGACGCTTTCACTAAATCCACAAACGAGTCAATTAGTGGGGCCGTGAGTGGCCAAGGGGGCCAGAAGCAGAACAAGGGGGTTAAGCTGTGACACTGATTCAAGTTATTCAAGTTTTTACACCTTCTATAACCACTGTGGTTATTATTTGACCTTGCTGGTCATCTATGAACATTTGAACGTCTTGAAGAATGATCTGGCCTAAATGGCTATGTACTCTTGTAATCTCCACCTGGCACAGCCAGAAGAGAACGGGCCAACCCTCTGAGCCTGGTTCCTCTATAGGTTTCTTCCTATGTTGCTGCCTTTCTAAGGTTCGTTTTTCCTAGCCACTGTGCTTCTGACTCGGCATTGCTTGCTCTTTGGGGTTTTAGGCTGTGTATCTGTATAGCACTTGGTGAAAGCTGCTGATGTAAAAAGGATTATAAAATACATTTGATTGATTAATTGAAGTTTTTCACCTCCCAGAGACAGACACACACACACACACACACACACACTGCCTCTCTTCCCGGTCCGGGGATAGCCAAACCGCAGGGGTCCTGGCCGTACTTACCGGATCAGAGGCTGGTAGGAGAATTGGCTGAAATTAGGCCGTAATTCAGTGGAAACGCAACTGGATTTGTCTCTGGCAGCGTGTCTGCCTAGGTACAGAATGGACACACAGTGTACCCAGTACAATATGAACCCCTGGGAAACTGCACCACAGGAGCCAGACGTAATAAATTGTGATACTGCAGGTCAGAGACAGGCTAGGGATCTGAGAGAGCTAGCAACAGTAAGAGGCTGAGGTATACTTAAGCAATAAGGCCTGAGGGGCTGTGGTATATGGCCAATATACCACAGGTAAGGGCTGTTCTTACGCACGACACAACGCAGATTGCTTGGATACAACCCTTAGCCGTGGTATATTGGCCATATACCACAAACCCCCAAGGTGCATTTTTGCTATTATAAACCCGTTAACAATGTAATAAGGATAGTAAAAATAAATGTTTTGTCATACCCGTGGTATACGGTCTGATATACCATAGCTGTCAGCCAATCAGAATTCAGGGGTTGAACCACCCAGTTTATAATGGTGAATTTGGTGCAGCCAGTGATATTGCTAGAGCATATGGGTGCATTGGGAGCAACGTTGGAGTTGCTGCCAGTGGGCTCCAAAAAGAACAGCCAGTGAGAAGAAAACTCCTCTCTCCTCTCTCTCTCTCCTCTCTCTCTCTCCTCTTTCTCCTCCTCTCTCTCTCTTCTCTCTCTCTCTCTCTCTCTCTCTCTCCTCTCCTCTCCGCATCCTTCTCTCTCTCTCTGCTCTCTCTCTCTCCTCTCTCTCTCCTCCTCTCTCTCTCTCTCTCTCCTCTCTCCTCTCTTCTTCTCTGCTGCCCTTTCTCCTAATTTCTCTTTCACCTGCTTCACTGAGCACACCTCCCTCCCCTCCCCTGCAGTTCCCAGCCACAGATCCATCCCTGTCTCTGGTCCCCTGGCAAGGTAATGAGACATTAAAGAACGATAGCCTACGTCCGCTTAAGAGCTATGTCCTTGCTCAATCTACCAAAACACTCCTCGCACGCATGCACGTACGCACACACACGCACACACACACTTGAGGGAATTGTAGGGATTTCTACGGACATGAGAACTGGACATGTATTTGTTTTTGATCATTCGGTTCAGGGCACACAACACACAGTAACCAGCTGATTGACACATTGGCAAAACAAAGAGGTGAGGCTTATATTATGAGCCAACATAATGGTTTCTGGTTGTGGATGAGAGCTTGGCTGTGTATCAGTGAGGTTAGTGTGCGTGTGTGTGTGTGTGTGTGCGTGTGTGTGCGTGTGAAGTCCCCACAATAATATAATAATATGCCATTTAGCAGACGCTTTTATCCAGAGCGACTTACAGTCACGTGTGCATACATTTTTACGTATGTGTGGTCCCGGGGATTGAACCCACTACCCTGGCATTACAAGCGCCATGCTCTACCAATTGAGCTACAGAGGACCACAAGAATAGTAAACCAATTTATTTTTGACCAACTGGGGACATTTTGTTAATCCTTACGAGGTCAAATGCTATTTCTAGGGGGTTTAGGGTTAAGGTTAGAATTAGTGTTAGGGTTAGAATTACGTTTAGGGTTAAGGTTAGGAGCTAGGGTTAGGTTTAGGGTTAGGGTTAAGGTTAGGTTTTTGGGTTAAGGTTAGGGTTAGGGTCAGGGTAAGGGTAAGAGTACGGCTTAGGGTTACGTTTAGGGAAAATAGGATTTTGAATGGGACTGAATTGTGTGTCCCCACAAGGTTAGCTGTACAAGACTGTGTGTGTGTGTGTGTGTGTGTGTGTGTGTGTGTGTGTGTGTGTGTGTGTGTGTGTGTGTGTGTGTGTGTGTGTGTGTGTGTGTGTGTGTGTGTGTGTGTGTGTGTGTGTGTGTGTGTGTGTGTGTGTGTGTGTGTGTGTGTGTGTGTGAGAGAGAGAGAGTGAGAGTGAGAGAAGGTTGCTTTTCTTCACTGAGTTTATTTGTCTTAGGCCTGGGTCATTAACAGAAAGGCCAAGACATGCACACCCCACACAGAAAGAGTGAGCCACTCCTGCGTCAGCCATTAGCTCAGTTGTGAGTGTGAACCAATAATTGCATTTTGTTATTGATATCATCCAATCTGACAGTGGGGACACCCTACTAAACAAATTACATACAGAGAGGTGTGGCAATCTATTCCTCTACCTCTTTCTCTCAGGCACTATTTTCTCTCCATCTCTCCCCTTCTACACATGCAATTACAGAATAAAGGCATCAGAACACAACAGGCCTTCCAATCAAATTCATTGAGTGACTCATATAGACAAACTGTCAGGCAGTAGGCTCAATAATGAACAAAACACACCAATCAAATAGAGAAATACCAGCTCTTGACCTATGAGTAATTGAGCCTTGTGAAATCCATCATGTTAACTATGACGCTACCGCTCTACGTTTGGGATCATGAGCCGAATGGCACCATGGAGAGCACACAGCACTGCACTGCCATGCTTGCCGCTCCGCTTCAGCACCGCGGAGAGCGCAATGCAACTGCTATGCTTGCGGCTCTGTTTCCCCACAGCGCGCCGCTCTCTTTTTCAGCACCATGGAGAGCGCACAATAGGCTACTACTACTGCACCGCGCAGGTAGGAGAAAGGCATCAATGAACAGTAGCCCCAGAACTCATATTAATGAATGGGTGTACACATCAACAGCAACAAGGTGACATAATATATAGGCCTCTTGCACAGAGAGAGAGAGAGAGAGAGAGAGAGAGAGAGAGAGAGAGAGAGAGAGAGAGAGAGAGAGATGAGAGAGAGAGAGAGGGGAAGGAGAGAGAGAGAGAGAGAGAGAGAGAGAGAGGAGAGATATGAGGAGAGAGAGGAGAGAGGAGAGAGAGAGAGAGATGTTGAGGCTGTGTCGAGGCTGTGTGAGAGAAATCTATTGCAGTAAATTCTGATTTAAATATTGTCATCGATCTCTCTCTGCTCCTCCCATGTTTCTATTTATAGCTCTCTTCATTTGACTGTGTTGAAAAGGTGTGAATCTTAATGATGAGAACTGCTGCAGTGGTTATGATATGATGACATCATACGCCTACAGCTTGGCCTGTGAATAAGGTAAATGCCTCTGAGGCCTTTAATGTGAATGTTGTGTGAATGCCCTAAACCGTATGATCATATGAGCACATGATCACACATCTGCACTCTATGGTAAGCTGGATCAGCACCTACCCCAGAGTTGTCATGGTGACGATGGTGTACCAGAAGGCTGCTGGGATGCTGGTGAACTTGCTGGCTGAGGAGCCCTTCTCGGCGTAGAACATGACGGTGGCGAAGATGATGATGGCCATGGTGAGGGAGAAGAGCAGGAAGCCCAGCTCCGAAGCGCAGCTCTTCAGCGTGTAGCCCAGGATGCGCAGCCCCGCAGAGTGGCGGGAGAATTTGAAAATCCTGAAAACTCGGAAGACCCTCAGGGTGACGAAGGCCCCGCTGACATCTTCGTTGTCCGTCATGACTAAGCCGATGTAGTAGGGCATGATGGCCACCACGTCGATGACGCTCATCACGCTCTTGATGAAGTTCCATCGGCTGGGCGCCGCCATTAGACGCAGCAGGTACTCCACGGTGAAGATCATGACGCAGGCCGTATCCAGACAGAAAAATGCCAAGGCGTACCGTTCCCCGCACGACACCTGTTTGACCCGGTTTGGCAAAGTCCCGCACGGGACTGTCTCCACCACGTTGGCCATCACGGAAACCGCAATGAAGAAGCCGGTGACGTAATAAAACACCAGGGCCATGGTGCTCGTGTGGGGGTTCTCGAATGCCCGCCACATGGTTTCTCTGAATGTCATATCCGGCGGGACCATATCGTTCTGGTTCTCGCTGTCTTCGTCATCCTGGATTCTCTCCTGGTTTTCCCGCCGCCGGTCCTTGTACTCTTCATAGCAGCAGTCCCCTATGATCTCCGGTATGATTCCAAAGAAGGCCAGCTCCTCATCGTAGGCCGAGATGCACTCCTGGCGCGGGTAGTGCAGCTTCCCGGTACGGTAGAAGTTCAGAATGTGTCTGAAAATATCAGGGTCACGGTCGAAAAAGTATTCGTTTGTCTCCTCGTGGAAGAAGAATTCCCGCTCCGTGCTGCCCAGTAAAGTGTCCGGGTACCTCTCCAAAGTATTCCGCCACGTCTGGAACTTCTGACCGCTGACATTGAGCAAGATGAGGCCTTCCTGTTTTCGCCGGTTGTCCGGCGGGGGCGTCGGCATGGGCGCACTGGCTACCGGCATCCATCCTATAGCAGCCGCCCGGGCGAAGGGTAACCACGCCGCCACTCCCGCTGCCATGGTGACCCACTGTGTGCGACCCGGTCCGGGTGAAGAGCTCTCGACGCTCCGGTGGGCGATCACAGAACCACAGCGCGGCGAGAGGACATCTGGAGAGGCAGGAAAACAACCCAAGCATTAGCCCTACTCATAGGCTACACTGTAACATATCATGCATGCATGCATGGCTGCAATGAATGTATCGTCCACATACTGTAAATTCTGTTTGTTTCTGAAACTCAATAAGTAAAGGTTATATTCTAAATGTGTAATAAAATCTAAATGTATTGCACAGACATTTACCATGTATATCCCTACTGTCGTCGATATTGAATATAAAGAGTGAGAGCGAGTAGTCGATTGTTATAGTATCAGGGACTCCACCGAACCAATATTCAGCAGTAGGACATACATGTTTCAACGGCAATAGTCTGGAAATTTAAAGCACATACAACAAACGAACATGTAGCTTACCAACCTCTGCGTAAAAGCGACTGGTTTGAAAAAAAGCTTTCCGTTCTCTTTCTAATATAAAATAATCCTCACTGCACACAAAAGTATCCAGAATAGTCTCCCCTTGGCAAGAGGGTGGAAACGAACCCGCAACAAGTTCAAAACGGGGGTAATTCCGTGCTCCAAACACGGGTAAAGACTTGGCTCTAGTCATACAAGGACATTCTCGAGCTCAGGTCGCGCCTCCCGGGTCTTTATCCCTGCTAGAGCTCGAGCTCTTCAAGAAAAGCGCAACTGTGATCCTCTGCGGAGACCAATGACTGTATGAGCCGAGACCACCCCCGACAACTTCGCTCTGTGTTCGCAGCTGAAGCGCGGGAGGACATAAAATCACACACGCACACACTGACTCACACGCGCTCACCACAGACACACACAAATACACAAGTGTGCCACCACGGTATCCACAAGCTGCCGCTCCAGCTCACAATTTCACCGTTGAATAGTCATATAATAACCACTAGAGAGCGAAGGGGGGATCAATAACCGATTTCGCAGAATCGTTTAATGAGAGCAACAAATGAGAGTATGGAAGTTGTTGGCTCGGCTGTCTCTCCTCTCCGCCACTCTCACTGCTGTGCAGCTGCGCAGAAGACCCAAGTTCCTCTCCCCAGTTCGTTGGGAACGTGTCACGTGCTCCGGGAATCCGATAACTTCTGTGGAATCAGATGGAGCGCTCCTCCTTGATGCATCGCGGATACCCGGTTATGCACTCCCGTGTCAGCAATAACCAAATATCTTTCTGAAACGGCACGGACACCGTACAAGCGGTTATCCTCTCAAACCACACTGCTAAAATTATACCACACCCGTACTGACAGAGTAGTATCACTTCAAAGCAATAGCCTTCAGTACGTTGTGCATAAAAGGAGCCTTGACTCAAAGTGTATTTGCGGTGGTTGCTAATACACAGGCTGTTGTTCCAGCCTCCTTGTCTCTGGGCACTGTCACTGATGCTCAGCCGGAGCACCGCTAGATGGAGACAGTTTTCAGGTGAGAGGGGAGCCCCACGGAGCGGAGGGCGGAGTGGAGTGCTCCGCAGACGGGGTATCTGTTCTCCCCCTCAGCACTCAGCAGATGTCCATGGAGACGTTATAGACGTCACCAACATGATGGATGTGTGTCATTGTCTAGCGCAGTGAGCATTGACCCCCACCTGACAGCACTCATCCCTGGAGAAGACACTCAAACCCCCGAGGAAAAGCTGTAGGGCGGATGTAACCTTGAGCAAGGCACTTAACCATAATTTGCTCCAGGGGTGCAGTACTACTATAGCTGACCCTGTAAAACAACACATGGTGTATGTAACTATAAAAACATATATGTAGTCCACTGGGGCCCTATAAGCCCAGGCAGGCCACTCCATAGTCATCTTTCATTACTATAATAAGCCCGTCTGTGTTGAAGGAATTGACACAAATGAGTTATGGTGAAGCCTTACAGTGCTTTAACCCTGGGATGCATATTATTCTTCCATAAAGACATACATGTATATTGCACATCACAGAGACCAGGGGTGGCCCCCTCATTCAAATGGAAACATGGATATCATTGGGTCAAAGGAAGGCACGCAGCAAGTTTGAGATCATGTTGGCACTTGCATAATGAAAGGGGCTCACAGGTTTGGCCTGAACCCCGATAGTGAAATAACTGAATTTATTGCCAACACTGTTGCAGCTCACGCACACTAAAATGACTTGGTGATACTGACATGGTGTTGTTAATTCATTTCCCAATTTCAGTCGTGCACAGCGGGGATTTGTGTCTGTTGGTAATAGGGTATTTCATTCCCAAATGCAGTGGCGTGTATTCATGGATGCCAAGGGAAGCCTGGCTTCCCCCCAAAATGACCAAAAAAAATAATAAAATCTTTCGTTTCATAATTTTCCTTCAATTCGCAAGAGGCTGAACGTATCTAACAGGAGAAAGCATCAGAGCGAGCAAGACAGCGCCCCTCTGTCTCTCTACGTGTAGGCCATCTATCTGATGCTGTATGATCCAAACGAGTATGACATAGTTGCCACCCGTATCACCGAATTCAAGAGAAGCCAGCGAGCATTTGACCTCCCTTGATAAAAAAAAGTATACAAAATTAGCCAATCAGCGTTGAGCTCAACTGAGCGAGCTCAACTTTGTATGGTCCTGGCGCAAATAAAAGTGTCATGGGAAACTTGGATTTTGGCGTCACTCCTGTCAAATCCCATTGAGAGCATACATCATTGACAGAAAGAACTTGAATTGTTCCATCTCCTTGTGTTGTTGTCCTCCTTTGGCTAGCTAGCTAGCTAAAATTGTCCCTTTCTTAAATTAGCCATGGATGGAGATAGGGATTTGGACTTGTGGTTTTACTTAATTCTCTGTACTGGCCAATGATTATAATGGCGATTCTGATCCAACCATTAATTCATACATTGTTGTGCCCCTGGCCTGAGAGGATGGAAGTTCAATATGTAGCTAGATGTAGAAGGCTAATGTTAACTAGCTAATGTTATCTAGCTAACGTTTCCCATGAATGGAAGTTAGGCTAGCGAACAAGCACTTTAGCCAGGTAGCCTAGGAAAACAAAAAATAAAAGCCCGCACTGTATGACAGAGTGATAGACCGTCAAAATGTTTTTCAAATCAAATTCTACTTGCATGAACGCGCACCTGCACACAGAAATCAGAACCATGGACAGCCACATCATATTTAGCTTACATTGATTGGACTAAATCGTTTTTGGTATCTTTTAGTTGTCACTGTATTAGACTAAGAAGAGGTGATTTGTTGAAGTTGAAATGGCGCTGGAATATTGCCGGTAGCTCCTGTTTTCTTTGCGAATTAAGGTCACTCTCTGTGGTTCTAAATCAATAGTTGTTTAGTTGTCCGAAAATGTCAGAAACATTAACTTGCTTGACCATGCTGTACTTCATGTAACTGTCTGTTACATGCAATATGCTTTGTGGACTTCACCGGACAGAGGTTGCTATCCGGTTTTGTTATAAAACAAAGGTGTGGTTGAATTTATTCTGCCACTGCGTCTTCTTATTGTCTCGGCATTTAGGCTTATATATATATCACGGCTTGGCTTCCTCAGTGATTTTACCCACGCACCGCTACTGCCCGAATACGCCCCACACCACGCTGGACCGTGGCTCTCTCGTGGTCACACCCCCTTTGCCAAGCTGACAGCTCGCTAGCCAGGATGGCTGCGCCACTCTGGTTCTACAAAACGGTGCGTCTCACCGCCCTACGCCTCTAATGAATTATCTGTCGGGCGGCCTCTTGATACCAACCAATTCCAAAATAAGACCCGATTGCACATTGTCACGTTTTGAAAATGTGAGAGAGAGAGAGAGAGAGAGAGAGAGAGAGAGAGAGAGAGAGAGAGAGAGAGAGAGAGAGAGAGAGAGAGAGCGAGAGAGAGAGAAATTATTGAGCAGCCCTGGCGGTGCAGATATCCTGCTGAGGGGAATTCAGGACCTTGGAGAGCGCAACGAATGTATTTGGCTACTGCAAAAGCCACAGAGGGACAGTGTGATAGGCATGCCCCTAACTCCCTGTTTAATAGGCTACGTTTCTCACAGCCCCAAAATGATCCAAACCTAAACCTAAGGAGAAACGACTATACCTCCACAGTAATGTAAAGCATCTTTAGTTGACTCTAACCATAGTTGTGACATTAGTTTTAGAGATACGTTTTTTTCTAGTAAGGCTGATTGTCAGAGGGGAATAGAAAAATGGGAATATAAATTGAAAGCAAATGAAAATGAATCAAAACCACGAAACTGTCATAATCTAGCCTACAGATACATGCAACATTAGCATTTAAAAAAAAAAACTTGAATCCCCCCTCTAAAAATACAGATGAACTCTTTGTAAACCATATGTCCTGCCCACTACCCCCTATGCTACCATACTTGTGAATATACTCAGTAATTATATGATCTATGTCTGAGGTGAGGTGACCATGTTATAGTGACATTAACCACTTTTTATCCCTTTACTATTGACATACACGAATCCACCCCAGTGCTTTGCGTTGGCATTATGGTGATTTAGTGGTGCTTTAGTGGTTAAGAGGCTCCCTGTTCTGTGTGGTTATGATGCTGTGAAGCTGTGAAGCGCTGTCTGTCGTCACCATGGTTACTGGCATGAAGCTATTTTGGACCCATGGGCTGAGGTGTCTTTTGAGCTGTCTATACCATAGAAATAGAATGAATAGAACAGACTTGGACCCTCTAAGCCTGGAAATTTGACTGGTAAACTCATGGGTACACTTGCAATGGCTGCCTGGTATTGTGATGCAATAATTTCCATGGCAATGTAGAATGTTCATTCAAATGATGTTAACTGATGTGGCTCATGCAATGGAATGTATTTTTTGTAATGTCAGTTGACTTGAATTAAAAAATCACAGCACAGATTGATGGGTACACTTCTTGCTTTGTTTCTATGGGTAAACTTGCAATGGCCGTCAGTCCACCCATTATGCCAACATTGACTTGAATGGGTACATGCTGTATGTA